AGGTGTGTAAACGGGTAAGTGACAATGACAACGACGACGACGACGACAGTGGCAGCCACAGGAATGTCTATGGGCAGCTAATGTCTATGGGGCAGTAACTATACGCCAGGCACCGTGCTGAGCCTTCACATGCCTTATCTCATTTAATCCCCATTCCAACCCTGGTAGGTAGGCACTGGGACCCAGAGTGGTTAAGTGACTAGCCCAAACTTACACAGTTAGTAAGTGGCAGGTCTGGAATATGGACCCAGAGAACCTGTGCTCTTCCACCTTCTAGACAACACGCTTCACTGGAAGCTTCATTGGGTTAGGCTGGGAGAAGAAAGGAAGCTTCTGGAAGGGCAGATGGACTGAGAAGCAGGAAGTACCAGCACTGGGACAATAAAATGGTCCATCAAGAAGGTGGGAACCTAAGGCAAAGCTTGCTCAACCTAGGCAGGCTGCTTAACCTCTTTCTTCTTGTTGGTTTAAGAAACATTACAGCACTTTCCCTTGCAGACCCTCCTGCATGAAACACTTTTCCCTGAGCTTCCTTCTCCTCTGATAGAAGGCTGGGGTCTCTGCCAAGAAACTCACCTTAGGACATGACTTCCCAGCCAAGAAGTCAGGGCACTCTGGTGTGTTCCTGTGGTGTTGCAATGTGCTGGGGAGGGGGCAGGGAAAGAGGGCAGTGAGAGAGGGAAAATGATGCGGGGGAGGGGGGATATGTGTGTCTGGGTGTTTTTCTCCAGTTAAAGCCAACAAGAGCCAAGTTCCCCTCTACACTCAGCAATGGGAGACACAGAAGCAGTGAAACAAATATATGGCTAGTCCTTGCCCTTGCCTGGTGGTCTAGGCAGAAACCTTGTGGGACTCTCTAGACTCTTTGGTTCCCAAGCTGGCTGAGGAAATGAAAATCTTTGTCCTCCACCTGAACCTCCAGGCTTCCAGAGCAATCCCAGAGCTCCAGGGAAAGGTGGGACCCAACCAGGCCAAGCTTGCTGTGAACACCACTGGTGTGTCAATCTTCCTGTGCCTTTGATGTCATCTACCTCTCTTTCCCTCTCTTCCCTAGGGCCTGTGTGTGTGTGTGTGTGTGTGTGTGTGTGTGTTCGTGGGGGTGGGTAATTCAAAATGAAATCCCCTCAGGTTGGGTGGCAAGGAAGCCTGCCTACCCTCTGTGTCTTATCAATACACGCTGGGCTCTAGGTCTGCGCCAGCCACTTTCTATCTCCTGGAGGGGAGATCGGGGTTTGCTCTGAGCCACCCACACTCCCTGACCTGATCTTTTATGTGACATGCATTTACCAAACAATTATCCAGACTTCGAAGGTCAGTCTGTGGCAAGGGAAGACAGAAAGGCTTTTCTCCCTTTTCTGCCCAGCCAACTCTCCCCCGCACCGCTCCCCCCTCTTCAAGGTCTAGCTCCATGTGAGCCTCGGCTCTCACAAAGCCTTCCCTCCCTCCTCCAGCTGCCAACCTCAGAGCTCTGGCTGCCTCTGGACCCTGCTCTGAGGAGCACAATTAGCACCTGACCAGCCACTGGCCAGGCTGCTTGTCCTCACCTCTGATCGTTTTAGTGTCTTAGTCATCTTTACACCACGACCTACTTCGCTGTCTCCTACACAGTGCCTAGCACGGGTTGGGCACACAGTAGGTGTTAATAAATGGCTGTTGAATTGAAACTCGACAGCCCCTATGAGGTCAGAACCCTCACGAGCACTCCGACCAGCAGTTCCTTGGCAACCAGCACCAGGGCCTGAGCTATAGAACATTACTGGCGCGGCCACTATTACAGGCCATGCGAGGCTCAGCGGCCAGAGATTTGCAGACAGGTTGGTGTTGATGAGAAAAGCCTCTGACCTCTAGGAAAGTGCCCATGGGATTCTGGGTACCTAGAATGAGTTTCCTTTCTCCCCTGCAGAACTAGTTTTCAGCCTGAGAACCACAAAGGGAATAAATTGGCAGGGAAGCCAGAAACCTCTTTGCAGCTTAGAAATCCTGGAGAGATAACCAAGCCCAGGTTGGGGTCAGGCCCAAGCTTGAGAAAGAAGCCTGCCAGGGGCCCTTCCCAGCTCAGCAGAAGATCTCTAGGAGGTGGGGGTGGCATGGCAGAGGGCTAGAGGGGTGTTTAGGGGTGGCCCTAAGTAATGCCATCCTGCCCTGGAACCCAACAAATCATGCCACAGAATGCTTGCCACCTGCAGCCCACGAAAGAAGCAGGTCTCCCTTTCTCCATCATTCATCCAAATCTCAAGGCAATTCCGGGGGTGCATCCAGAGCAGAACCCAGCCAGAGCCCCCAGGCAAGGAGAAGCCTCCAAGTCTGGGGTGCTTGGGTCCTCACACTAGCACAGGTATTCGAGCCTGGCTTTGAATTATGCTTATTTATGTAGATGACCTAGCCACTCTCCCTGTCTCCCACTCACACCCCAGACCCCAACTCTGGCCTGCAGCAGAAGGTATACACAATCCTGGAAGGCATGTCTTCTTCGCCTCCATATTTTCCTCACTGCTACTTCACTGATACCTGTTACCATGACTGGCTCTCCACGAATGTTTGCTGAGTAGAGTCTGTTTTAGGCACTGTATTAGAAAATATCATAATCCCAGTTCGTGTGCTCACTATGTGCCATACACTGTTCTAATAAGCAGCTTATATGTATTGGTGTACCTGACCTTCAGAGCATCCTTATGAAGTAGGGCTCATTTGACAGATGAGGAAACAGAGGCATACAATTGACTGGGATCGCATAGATAGTAAATAACAAAGCTGGGGTTTTTTTTTTTTTAAGTTTTTATTTATTTATTTTGAGAGAGAGAGAATCCCAAGCAGGCTCCACAACACCAGGGCAGAACAGCCCAACAAAGGGCTCTAACTTATGAACCACAAGATCACAACCTGAGCTGAAGTCAGATGCTTAACCAACCGAAGCCACCCAGGCGCCCACAGAGCCGGGTTTTAGACACAGACAGTCTGGCTCTAGGGATGGAAGGTAAAATGAGAAAGTTAGGGGGTGGGGGTGGGGTGTGGCAAGGCCCAAGGCCAACCTTAGAAGCAAGGATTTCCCTGGGAAAGCAATCCCCTCAGCCTGTACTTGGCTGGGCTTCTTTAGAGACAAAAGCCCTGAATTTTGCAGCCTAGGGACATATTGGATATTCTATCAATCAGGCCTATGAATGACAGACCACAGCACCCTCATTTTTAGATCCCAATATAAGAGAAGACAGAAGTCACTGCGCCACCACTTAGCACTAGGCAGGGGGAGAGTGGATTTCAGGCCCCCAGCTTGTCCAGGGGTGGGCGCCAGTTCCTGAGCAACCACCGAGCAAACAGTGTAGCAGTGGGAGAAATGCCAGACATAGTTGCAAACAAGCCACTCCTTCGGCTCACAGCTAGAGGCTGGGTGAGGGTGGCAACGTGGAGCCTGCTCAACACCCCCCCCCCAAAAAACATCCCAGCCTTTGAACCAAACCCAGCCCCAGAAATAACCCACATGCAAGACACCCTCTTCCCCACACAAGTCCTCTAAGAGAGTTAAGTCCTTCACTTAACTCAAGACAGTTCCCCCACTAAGCTGTTCCTGCTCTGGGTCCACTGAATCAATGGTCGAGAAAACGCCTTAGAACCATGGAACTGCTATAACCATGTAACTGCGTGGAGGGATTTGCATTCTTGCTCGGCATACGTGTTCCCTAGGCATTTTTAGTGCCAAAGTGTCCTGTCTCCCCAAAGGGGAGAGCTAGATCTGTTCCCTTCAACCCCCTCCAACCTGGCACTCAGGCCAGGGGTCAGCTTGCAGGGGGTGAGTGCCCAATGGGTGTGCCCACCAGCTGTTGGGGCCAAGCAGTGGTGGCTCAGGCCCTGGGGTGGTGACCTCACTTCCGCTCCTACCTCCCCACCTCCCTAGCACTCCTCCCATTTGAGGCCCCACCAGGCCAAAATCGAGAAGTCCAAGGTTAACTGTTCCTCCCCACTTTAAGAGCTAATTAAAATGATTAGCCACAATGAACTGTCAAACATTAACCAGAAGAAGCTGCAGGACCAGACAGGCCTCTATCTGGGGTACAGGGATGAGGGGCAGGACTCAAACTGCCATCAAATCCCATGACTGGGGTGTTGGGCGGGGGGAGCTAGGGATAACCTGGCTGAGCTGACCTACCAAAGGGTCAGGAGGTGACTGTGGTGAAGAAGGCCATGTACCTACACGCAGTCATCAGGAAAGGGCAGCAGAGTTAGGGTGAGGTAGAGGGACCAGAAATTCATGAAGCGGCTACTGCCTCATTAGTTCCCCAAAACAAGGCGCTTGCCGGCATGGCACCCCGCGCCGTGTATCTGCTCTATCCCCTTGCCGGGAGCAGAGGAAGAAACCAAGAGGCGGGAGAAACCGGGAGAGCGGGAACGCGGGAGCGGGAGGGCTGGCGGCTTGCTCACACGGAAACTCTGGTCCCTGCCAAGAGGTCTCTATTTTGGCGATCCAATTATCCAAGTCATAGGTGTGTGTGTGTGTGTGTGTGTGTGTGTGTGCGCGCGCGCGCGCGCGCCACATTAGTGTGTGTGCGTGTGTGTGCGTGTGTGTGCGTGTGTGTGCGTGTGTGTGTGTGTGTGTGTGTGTGCTTTACTCTAAGGCGCCTGGCCCCAGAGGCCCCAGGGGCCGCCCGATCAATCTGGCAGCCTTGCCACTGTGCGGTCTGACCTCTCGCCCTCCAGCCTCAAGCTTTTGGGGGGCTGCTGTCGCGATCGGCCTTGTCAGGGAACCCAGGTTGCCCGGGTCGCTGGAAAACTGGCCCCCCGCCCTGACTGGGGAATTCGATTCCGTTTCTAACCCCGGCTCAGAAGCCCCGGTTCCCCAACACGCACGCGGTGGGGCGAGGCAAGGGCGGGACTCAACACGCCGCGGCTCTCCCACCATTCCCTGGGCCCCCAACTCTACACGAAGGGGCCCCGGCGCCCCTGATCCCGCCCTCGGGCAAACTTTTCGAGGTTCCCAATGGCTCGAAGAACTGGCGCCATCGACGTACCTGAGGCCGAGTGGGCTCGGTCGCCGGGCTGGGATCGGTCGTTGTGGTCCCTTCCCCGCTCCAGGGGCCCAGAGGAGGGTCCCCACCCACGCCAGCTCGCCTTCTCCCTTCGGAAGCCGGGCCGGGCCGGTGGCGCCGGGACCTCGGCGCCGGCGAAAGGAGAAGTGGAAGTTGAGCGCGGCGCCCTGTCGGTCCCCGCGGCCGCCGGGGCCACCGTTCCCCTCCCTCCTTCCCTCCCTCTTTCCTCCCTGCCCGCCTGCCCCCGCGGTCCCGCGCCCGTGACTCACCTCGGCGCCGGGGCAGGCTGGTCCGGGCGGGCAAGGCACAGGGCTCTCCCACACGTCGCGCCGCCAATGGCAAGTTGGAGGGCGAGATGCAAATACCAGGTGAGACGGCGGCGCCCCTGATAAAAAGACTCCGGGGGGTGGGGTGGAGTGCGGGGGGGAGCTGGGTGGCCGCCGGAGACGGCCAGGCCGAGGGAGGGGGCGGCGGGGGAGCCTGGGGAGGGGGCGCGAGCCGGCGGAGACCTGCACTGAGACACCCGAGCGAAAGGGGAAATTGCACTAGAGACACACACGTCCCCGCAGGCGGCGGCTGGGGCGGGCGCGAAGGAGGCAGGGCGGGAGGGAGGGAAGAGCCGGAGGGAGGGACCGACGGGAGGGACCGCGGGCGGGCGGGGTGGGTGAGGGAGCGAGGGAGGGACGAGGCGTCTTGGTGGAAACAGCGCCCCTCCACCCCCGGCCCGCCGCGGTCGCCAGCACGGCAGGGGGAGCCGTGCCAGGGGCCCGCGCGGCCTCTCCTTCCCCTCGCGGCTCGCTCGCCCCCGGGGACCGTGAGAGCAGGGCTCCAGCAGAGCTCACGTTGCCCGCCCCTGCCTTGGTCAGAGACCCCAAGTCCGCTGGCGCGTGGCGGGTGCAAGGGCTCTCCTATCCCTGTTCGGGCCATTCCCGGCGAGAGCCCCCCACCCCCCCATGCCCGGGAGAGAAATCAATTCCCAGGGGACCCCAGGGCGACTATGTTCAGGCCCCTCGCGGCCTGCACACACCACTCGCTTGACGCCTTTGGCTCAGACGCTTGCACTCCAGGTTATTGAGCGCCTGCTGTGTGCGAACCTGGCGGGAGGGCGGGTGGAGCGCGTGGGTGAGGCCAGGAGATGCCCAGAGGATACAATTCGGGAGCTATATGCCAGACATCGCAGGATCCTGGGCCAAATGCAGCGTCGTGCACTTGGGGTGGCTGGAGAGTTTGGGGGACTTCTTAGGGAAGTCGAGCCTATGGCTCCTGGTGGGGGAGACCAAGAAGATATGAATCAGGGGAAGGGCTGGGTGGGGGGGAGTAGGGCTAAGACAGCAGGTGCAAAGGCAGCCAGTGATGAGGTGCTGGGAAAAAGCTCAGGCTCCCCTTCTCTCCAAAGCTAAGCTGCCCTTCTTGAGGCATCCACTTGAACTCCAGTCTCCCATTCCTTCTTACCCTCCTTCTTACCCTCTCCTCTGACCTGCCTCACCACCATAAAAGCCTTCAACCCCCACCTCGTCCCACAACTAGGAGGCTCTAAGAAGGAGATGGCTGGAAATTGTCACTTCTTATGGCTCTACAGGTTCTGGAGGATGGGCGCACTCAAGCCTCAGTCCTTGAAGCTCCTTGGCAGAAAGCAGGAAAGCTGAAGGGGTCCCAGAGGAGGACGGCTTTCTGTGGGGTAGAGGTGGCCAAAGGGCCTGAAGTTCAGGGACCTGTTCAACCATCATCATGTCTGTTTCCCCAGCCTTGGGAAAAGATGGTCCCTGGCACAGGACTTGGGGACGAGTGGTGGTGGATGATGGTGGGGAAGGCAGCTGCCAATTACAGGTTTCCAGGGAAAAACCTAGGGACTGGACTGGGGCACTGGCCCTTCAGATCTCTTGCCTACCTATAGCCAAGTCCCTGAAATAAGCGCCAAGAGCAGATTTCCACTTTTTTTTTTTTTTTCTTTTCTAAGTGGGCATGCTCTCCCCGGGAAGATTCCGGATCCTGGAGCCACATCATTGTCTGCTGGTCTCTTGGAGCCGTGAGGCTCCCCCTCGAAGTCGAAGTCATGGGAGGTCCCAGCCATCCCTACACCCCCTTTATCTTGACCTTGAAACTCACTAATGGACACAAGCACACATACATTTCCATTTTGCTAAGAGTTCAGTGGTCTTTAACATCAGACAGGCCTGGGTTCTTAGTCCAAGTGCACCATTTATCAGCTGTGTGTCTTTGGGCAAGTCACTTAAACTCTCTGAGCCTCACTTTCCTTATTTTTAAGTTGGGGATAATAAGAACCTACAACAAAAGGCTGTAGTGATGACTGAAGGACATAACCCATGTCTATGGCAGTGCCTGGTGTCTAGTAACCCCCTCAATAAATAAATGTTGGCTACTTTTAGTATCATCCTTATCTTCACTGCACTTTTCTAACCCAGCTCTCAGGAGAAAGCCTGATAGGCCCAGGCCAGAAACTGCTGAGGACTAATGGTGGATCCCTCCTATGAGTGTTTGTGGTTTAAACCAAATCTGAAGCTTCAAGGTATGGTGAAGCCAAAGGAGAAGTCTTTGTCTTGGGAAGGGCAAGGAGAGAGGTCAAGCACTGTGTCAACCAGCTAACAGTGACTGGCCCTAATAACTGCCAGTGACCTGAAGCCCACTTGTGAGAATCCCGTAAGCTCCCACCTTCCCCAGCCACTCGGAACTAACCACAGCCCAATAATCTGGGAGTTGCAGCCAAAGGAACCCCATCCCCCTTGATGAATATCTTGTGCTGACCTCGCCTTGGGGAGCCATGGGCCACATGAATGACTTTCCTGGCTCCCTTGCTCCAGGTCAGCCAGGCTGCCCTTCCAATGACCTTGCTGCTCCCCAGACTGCCAACCCTTCCCCACCTGGCTTCCCGCTCTTCCATTTACCCATTGGGTGAGCTCCAGCCAGGTGGGGCCAGCCGACTGAGATCACTACTCCAACGACAGCCATGCTGTCTCTGCCAATGGCTCATTCCCTGACTTGGCAGGAATTCCCCTTCTCGAGTTGCCCATGGATGCCCAGGCTGCACCATCCAGTGTTCACTCTCAGCCTCTCTCCTTCCAGCCTGTCCCCCCACCTCCAACTCCGATTCAGTCCTCTCAAGCCTCAGAACATGGATCCTTCCAAGAGTGGAGGGCCTCCTGGCTGCCCACAGCCTGTGCAGGGCCAGCTCGCAACTCCAGTATTCAACTTGCCTTTCCACCTTGGCAACTTTCTCAGGCCCTCTTTCTCCCCTCTTTTAAGCAGTGCCTATGTTCTCCTGCAAATCGCCCAGGTTCTTTAGAGACAAAGTGGCTGGTTGCTTCCCCCCTCTCTTAACCCCTTGGCCTCAACAAATTCTATTCAAGCCTGTGGCTAGAACAAAATACCACAGTGCCACAGTTACTGTAGCCATGGCCCTTACTTTCCACCACAGATACAAGCTAGAAAAGTCACTCATCAATCAGACTTTCAGAATGAGAAGCATACTCAAAAGCCAGGAGAGAAGTTACAGTTTAAAAGAAATTCTACCACCTGTAAAGCTGAGAAGCCCCCTCTAATCCTTCCTAATTTTTTAAAAATGTTTTATTTATTTCTGAGAGAGAGAGAAAGAGAGAGAGAGACAGAGACAGAGTGAGCCGGGGAGGGTCAGAGAGAGAGGGAGACACAGAATCCGAAACCAGCTCCAGGCTCTGAGCTGTCAGCACAGAGCCTGACGCGGGGCTCGAACCCACGAACAGTAAGATCATGACCTGAGCTGAAGCCGGACGCTCAACTGACTGAGCCAACCAGGCACCCATGGCTGTTTTAGAAAGGATTATAACGGGGTGCACCTGGGTTGAGCTTCCAGCTTTGGCTCAGGTCATGATCTCATGGTTCGTGGGTTCGAGCCCTGCGTCGGGCTCTGTGCTGACAGCTCAGAGTCTGGAGCCGGTTTCGGATTCTGTGTCTCCCTCTCTCTCTGACCCTCCCCTGCTCATGCTCTCTCTCTCTCAGAAATTAAAAAAAAATTAAAAAATGAGTAAAACAGCCAGCAATCAGTCCTCTGTTGATATGTTCAATAACACCAGATTAGCCTCTATTGGGTTTATGTGATGAGGCCCTAGAAAGCTCCAAATGACAGGACAGAAATTCCTATGTCCCAGGTTGTGGCTGGCCGTCATAAAGAGTGTTCTAAAAAGATTTTTGGGGGGCTCCTGAGTGGCTCAGTTGGTTAAGTGTCCAACTGGTGGTTTTGGCTCAGGTCATGATCTCACAGTTCGTCTGATTGAGCCCTATGTTGAGCTCTGTGCTGACAGAGTGGAGTCGGCTTGGGATTCTCTTTCTCCCTCTCTCTCTCTGCCCCTTCCCTTGCTCACGCTCTCTCTCTCTTTCTCTCTCAAAATAAATAAACTTAAAAAAAAACAGAAGGAAGCTAACATTAAAAATTTTTTTTTTAATAAAAAGGTTGTTGGAGGACGCCTGAGTGGCTCGGTCTGTTCAGCATCCAACTCTTGGTTTCAGCTCAGGTCATGGTCTCACAGTTCAGTTGGTGCTATCTAGCCTGTGTTGACAATGTGAAGCCTGCTTAGGATTTTCTCTCCCTCTCTCTCTGCCCTTCCCTCCCTCCTCTCTCTCTCTCTCTCTCAAAATAAAAAAATAAACTAAAAAAAAATTGTTGGGTAGCTACAAAATATAAGAATTCTTTGAGGTAGGTTATATACCAAAGTGCTCCTTACCCAGATGGTGGTCTCTTGCCCGTGTCCATACTGGGGGCTAAGGGTGGGGGGTGTGCCCAGGCCAAAGAAAAGCATGCACATGTGAAGATGTAGTTGGGAACAACTTCTCAGATCATGACTTTCATCTGGCCAGCCACCTTCATTGGCTGGGGCTCTTGGAAAGCCACTTGGTCCCCACACGCCAAGCTGCTCTCATTAAAATGGAGAGTTACACACTTCCACTCCAGGCCTTTGCTGTGACAGGCTCCAGCACCAGAAGATTCCCTACAAAACTTCAGAGGGCCACTGGCTTCACTTCTTGGAGGGCTGGTGAGCAGTTCAGGGGTCCGGTGGAGTGAAATGACAGTGACATAGCAAGTGCTTCAGCCTTGAGTCAGTGGTCCTTATGTCCATCCCGGGCGCGGTGGCTCCTGGGAGGTGCTGTCCCCACCATATGCACTGCCGGGAGTGGGCCTGGTGTTAGGGAAACAGATTCAGTGCCCTTCAGGCCAGGTGTCTGGGTTGGTGGGAGATTTCTGAGGTGGGGGGAGGAGGAGGGACTCAATGGTTTATTTGCCAAAAAGAAGGAAGAAGTGGCTTTGAGCAGAGTTCAGCAAATGAAAGCAAGTCCCCTGAAGTCTAATCCTATTGGCCCCTAGTCCCTATCTTGGAGCCAAGGATCAGCATGGAAAAGTCCCTGGGACCAGGGCCAAGGGCAGGCACCTTCTCTGGGGCACCTATCAGAGGCAGCACAGCATCCAGAGTTTTGAGGCCACTATCCAGTAGAGCCAGAGTTAACTTCTCAACCTCTGATGT